CAGGCCCCTCCCCCAGAAGATCATCAAGAACAGCCAGCAAGCCAAGACCAAGTTTACCTATCAATAAGAACCGCAGAACTCCAGCGCTAGGGGAATACTGCACATAGAATTCATGACTTTTTTACCATGATTCTTTAGTCTTTCAACGTTAATCTTTTTTTAACTTTTTATTTTTTGAATTTTTCTTTTTCCCTTTTTCAACCAACATCTTATCAATCCCTTTTTTAAAAAAACATTTTTAGGGCACCTGGGTGGCTCAGTTGGTTAAGCGACTGCCTTCAGCTCAGGTCATGATCCCGGAGTCCCAGGATTGAGTCCCACATCGGGCTCCCTGCTCAGTAAGGGAGCCTGCTTCTCCCTCTGACCCTCCCCCCTCTCATGTACTCTCTCTCTCTCATTCTCTCTCTCTCAAATAAATAAATAAATCTTAAAAAAAAAATAAAAAAATAAAAAAACATTTTTATTTTTCATTTTTAGAGTCATAATCTATCCCTTCATAGTAGTTACCCTTATTTTTGGCATATATATATATATAAGTTGCTCTCTCTTTAAAATTTTGAGATACAGTTTCTTCTAACAGATCAAAATATACCCTAAATCTCTAGTGTATGGCTTTGTTCTAGTCTCCTGCCTGATCACATTCTCTCCCTTTTTTTTCTTTCTTTTTTTTTAAAATCCTCTTCTTTCTTTTTTCAAACAACTTATCAATTCCTTTTATAAAATTTTTTATAATTTTCATCTTTACAGTCATATTCCATCCCTTCATTGTATCAACCCTTATTTTGTACATATATAAGTCTTTCTTTCCTTAAAATTTTGGGAGGCACTTTCTTCTAACAGACCAAAATACACCCAAAATCTAGTGTGTGGCACTGATCTATGCACCAGCCTGATCATATTTGATCATATTCTGTTTTTTTTTGTTTTGTTCTGTTTTTGTTTGTTTTTATCTTTTTCTTTTTTTTTTTTCTCTTTCTTTTTTCTTTCTTTCCCTTTCTTTTCCCCCAGTTTCAGGTCTTTTCTGATTTGTTTAGAGTATATTTTCTGGGGACGTTGTTACCCTGTTAGCATTTTGTTCTCTCATTCATCTATTCTCCTCTGGACAAAATGACAAGACGGAAAAAATCACCTCAACAAAAAGAACAAGAAGTAGTACCATCTGCCAGAGACCTACTCAATACAGACATTAGTACGATGTTGGACCTAGAGTTCAGAATCATGATTTTAAAAATACTAGCTGGGCTTGAAAAAAGCATTGAAGTTATTAGAGAAACTCTTTCTGGAGAAATAAAAGAACTAAAATCTAACCAAGTCGAAATCAAAAAGGCTATTAATGAGGTGCAATCAAAAATGGGGGCACTAACTGCTAGGATAAATGAGGCAGAAGAGAGAATCAGCGATATAGAAGACCAAATGATGGAAAATAAAGCTGCTGAGAAAAAGAGAGATAAATACTACCGGATCACGAGGGCAGAATTCGAGAGATAAGTGATACCATTAAGACGAAACATTAGGGCACCTGGGTGGCTCAGTTGGTTAAGCAACTGCCTTCGGCTCAGGTCATGATCCTGGAGTCCCAGGATCGAGTCATGCATTGGGCTCCCCGCTCAGCGGGGAGTTTGCTTCTCCCTCTGACCCTCCCCCCTCTCATGCTCTCTCTCTCTATCTCATTCTCTCTCTCAAATAAATAAATAAAATCTTTAAAAAAAAAAGACAAAACAACATTAGAATAATTGGGATCCCAGAAGAAGAAGAAAGAGAGAGGGGCAGAAGGTATATTGGAGCAAATTATAACAGAGAACTTCCCTAATGTGGGGAAGGAAACAGGCATCAAAATCCAGGAGGCATAGAGAACCCCTCTCAAAATCAATAAAAATAGGTCAACACCCCAACATCTAATAGTAAAACTTACGAGTCTCAGAGACAAAGAGAAAATCCTGAAAGCAGCTTGGGAGAAGAGATATGTAACCTACAATGGTAGAAACATTAGACTGGCAACAGACCTATCCACAGAGACCTGGCAGGCCAGAAAGGACTGGCATGATATATTCAGAGCACTAAACGAGAAAAAGATACAGCCAAGAATACTATATCCAGCTAGGCTGTCAGTGAAAATAGGAGAGAGAAAAAGCTTCCAGGACAAACAAAAACTAAAGGAATTTGCAAACACAAAACCAGCCCTACAAGAAATATTGAAAGGGGTCCTCTAAGCAAAGAGAGAGACTAAAAGCAGCATAGATCAGAAAGGAACACAGACAATATACAGTAACAGTCACCTCATAGGCAATACAATGGCACTAAATTCATACCTTTCAATAGTTACCCTGAATGTAAATGGGCTGAATGCCCCAATCAAAAGACACAGGCTATCAGATTGGATTAAAAAACAAGACCCAGGGGCGCCTGGGTGGCTTAGTCGTTAAGCGTCTGCCTTTGGCTCAGGTTGTGATCCCAGGGTCCTGGGATTGAGCCCCGCATCGGGCTCCCTGCTCGGCAGGAAGCCTGTTTCTCCCTCTCCCACTCCCCCTACTTGTGTTCCCTCTCTCGCTGTGTCTCTCTCTGTCAAGTAAATAAATAAAATCTTAAAAAAAAAAAAGACCTATGATTCCATTAAAAAAAAAACAACAAGATCCATCAATATGATGTCTGCAAGAGACTCATTTTAGACCCAAAGACACCCCCAGATTGAAAGTGAGGGGGTGGAAAACCATTTACCATGCTAATGGACACCAAAAGAAAAAGCCAAGATGTCCATCGACAGATGAATGGATAAAGAAGATGTGGTGTATATATACAATGGAATATTATGCAGCCATCAAAAGGAATGAGATCTTGCCATTTGCAACGACGTGGATGGAACTGGAGGGTGTTATGCTGAGCGAAATAAGTCAATCAGAGAAAGACATGTATCATATGACCTCACTGATATGAGGAATTTTTCATCTCAGGAAACAAACTGAGGGTTGTTGGAGTGGGGGTGGGGTGGGAGGGATGGGGTGGCTGGGTGATAGACAGTGGGGAGGGTATGTGCTATGGTGAGTGCTGTGAATTGTGCAAGACTGTTGAATCACAGATCTGTACCTCTGAAACAAATAATGAAATATATGTTAAGAAAAAAAAAAGAAGATAGCAGGAGGGGAAGAATGAAGGGGGGGAAATCGGAGGGGGAGACAAACCATGAGAGATGATGGACTCTGAAAAACAAACTGAGGGTTCTAGAGGGGAGGGGGGTGGGGGATGGGTTAGCCTGGTGATGGGTATTAAAGAGGGCATGTTCTACGTGGAGCACTGGGTATTATGCACAAACAATGAATCACGGAACACTACATCAAAAACTAATGATGTAATGTATGGTGATTAACATAACAATAAAAAATTTATAGAAAAAAAATCCATTATGAGTGCCATACCTTCTCACCACTTTCCACCACTAACATTCTAATCCAAACCACCATCACCCCCAGTTCGCACTACAGAATTGGCCTCCCGGCAGCTTTTCCTATTCTTACCCTTGTCCCCATTCAGTCCATCCTCTATGCAATCTGTGCAGGAAAAAGCGGGGGAGAGCGATGGAGGGTATCTGCAGACCTGAGAACCTCAAAATAACCAGTAGATACTCATCTAAAAGGTTAGCAGGCTAATTGGAGGAGAGGTAATGAAACCGATAGTGAGGTTTGGGGTGTTTGGTAAGGTTGGATGTGGTTGGAAGTGATCTATCAGGGAGAAAGAAAAAAGGGTTGTGATTAGGTAGAGGCAGGTAAAGGGCTTGAGTGGTAGTTGGAGAAGTTTTATCTCCTCATTTGGAGAATCTGGGTGAAGAGAACAGGAAAATTCTTTGTATAATTCTGCAATTTCTCTGTAAGCCTGAAATTATTTTTTATTTAATTAGTTTATTATCATTGTTTATTTTTTTAAGATTTTATTTTTAAGTAATCTCTACATCCAACACGGGGCTTGAACTCAACCCCAAGATCAAGAGTCGCTTACTCTCCGACTGAGCCAGCCAGGTGCCCCTGAAATTATTATTTTTTAAATGTTTTACTTCTGGGGCGCCTGGGTGGCTCAGTTGGTTAAGTGACTACCTTCAGCTCAGGTCATGATCCTGGAGTCCCAGGATCGAGTCCTGCATCAGGCTCCCTGCTCAGCAGGGAGTCTGCTTCTCCCTCTGCCCTTCCCCTTCTCATGTGCTCTCTCTCTCTCTCTCATTCTCTCTCTCAAATAAATAAATAAATAAAATCTTTAAAAAATGTTTTACTTCTGCTCAGGGTGATGTTTTAAGGATATCTGTTTTATAATAACTCATTAAGCTATATATTTTAATATGGCTTTCTAGTCTTTATCTCATTTTTAAAAATTTTTTAAAATTTTAAAATCAGAAAAATGTAAATTAGATCATTGCTTCTAGTCACTTTCAGAAAATAAGCCAGGTTCCTGATAATTAACAAAAAAATACACAGGACTTGGTCCCTTCTGATATTCTCCCTTTTTTATTGTTACTCTCCCCTCATTAATTCTGTTCCACTCTGCTCATTGCTCCTGAATCACACAAAGCTCATTCCCACCTCAAGGAATGCAAATTTGTTATTCACTCTGCCTGGAACGTTCTATATAATCATATAACCTAAGCCCTTCTTGTTCTTATCTCTGCTCAGTTATCACCACCTCAGAATATACAAATAATCTAAATGCAAAAGAGGAGCTGAAAGCAGTCAAATTCAAAATATAGCTGAAATATTGCACTGGGAAAGATAACAGGCCTAATAAGATGACCAGGGAAATATGAGAAGGTGAGGGAATGATAAAATTGGTAAAGGTGAAGTTTCTTTGGAAATTTTGGTGAGATATTCATCTTTCTCCCAAATATCAGGCTTTCTATGCAGGCCTTGCTGGGGCCTTTGAAGGGAGAGTTACAAACAACAGCTCAGAGCTGTGCCTACTCCCTGACCACATGGGTTACTTCCAGCAATGAGAGCTTCTCTACCTGACCGGCTCTTACTCACCTGTGTATTGTCTTCTTTGATCTTTCCTCACTATCATTCACGGCTCTTTCCATTGTTCCAATAAAGTAATCACATGTGGTTTAGAAATGGAATGTCCGGCTTACAAGGTAAGAATGCCATACAAAGTAGAAAGGAAATAAAACAGGAATTAAAAAAATACTTTGAGCTTAGGTTAAACTTGGAATAGACTAAAATGACATTGAGAAGTATTTTGGGGAAAGGCAAGGCGATTCAAGAATCCAAATAGATGGGCAAAAGGTTTTATTTTAAGTGAAATCTATTCTCTCTTTCTTTCTCTCTCTCCTGTGTCTTGACAGAAAGTATGACCTTGTAATTGAGAACACAGACTCTGGTACCAGAGTGCATGGGTTCAAATTCCTGCTTCTGCCTCCTACCAGCTGTGTGACCAAGGGAAACTCACTTAAACTCACTGTCTTCAACATTCTCATCTGAAATGGTTATCAATAATCCCTATCTCATAGGGTGATTGTGAGGAGAAAAATCAGTTAATACAAATCAGATACAAACATGTAAAGAGCTTAGAATAGTGACTGGTACACAGTAAGCACAATGTGAGTTACTAACATTATTACCGTTATTTTTCTAAGAGAAAAACCAAAAAGTTTCTTGAGACATATGTATCTATAGGACACTCATTTAATCTTAAATGTAAAGGTCGTGAATTATAAATTTTAACCACAAAATCAGGGTAATTGTTTTGTAAGAAAGAAAGTGAGGTACCTTCAGGTTTAAATGATTTGTTTATCCAGCACCCCACTGTATAAGTTGCACAGGCTCTTCAGATAGAACAAATCAGGACCCTCTGTCTAGCTGTTTTGCCTGCAGGTGGGTCAGACAGTAATAGTGCATTTATAGCAATTTTGAGCATAAACATAATGGGAAATCTGGCCTTTGTCAATGTTTATGCAATAAACAGCCCAGAGTTCTAATCCTACCATTTCATCCTTTCCAGCCTAACAAAGCTCAAACCATTTCTTTGGGAACAGAGGGAAGAAATTACGTTCACTTCTTAAGATAGCCCTAAAATGTACGATGTTGGGGAGAAGATTCTAATTTACCTGAGAGAGGTACACTTACCCAGTGAGACCAAGTTACTATAGTTCTCCAACATCACATTCCTGTACAAGTGCCTCTGAGCAGGATTCAGACTCTCCCACTCCTGCTGAGAGAAGGCTACGGCCACATCCCTGAATGTCACTGATCGCTGAAACTGCAAACCCACATATGTCTGGTGAAATTAAAAAAAAAAAAAGTTTTAAGATAAAAGAAAAGGAGACAATAAGTTTCAACGTAGCAAGGGAAGAATCACAGAGCAATCAAGTGGCTAGAAGCTTAGGATATAAGAAGCAAATGAGTCAGAATATCTGCATGTTCTGGAAGAACCCTGTTGCTATGGTCAAAATTTTCTGTATGTTGTGGGATACCACAGTACTCCAGATCTGTTGAGAAATTGATGAAATAATCCAAGTTTCTCTGTTAAATAAAACAGCGTACACAAAGACACTCCCTGCTCAGTACCTAACCTAATAAATTCTCAAGAAATGGTAATCTTTACATTATTTTCCCTTTAAGAGAAATAGGCATTTTTAAGCATAAAATCCTTATTTTAGAAAATAGATATTACACAAATTTGTTAACTTCTCAAGCTTCAAGATTATGATGTCAAATCATATCATTCCATTTTTCCTTATATTAATAAAAAAATTTTTCATGATGGCATAAAAGTACCTCTTGTGAATATGTACCAGAATTAGTCATTATTTTAGATTTATATGAGATTTGACCAAATGTCTTTGATTTCCCCAATTCAGGTAATCTACGACTTATGATAATAAGCTCATATTGTCATGCAGCATTCCTCACTCAACACTTTTGCTGTTTTTCAGTTAGTGGATTATGATTCAGAATCAAACGAATGTCACCCAAGTCTGGCAGGTCCCATTCCACCACAAAATTGACCTACTGTCACTCTCAGGCATCACCTGGCAAGAATGATGGTATCAATGTTTCCATGTCACAGTCATGGCCCTAATGTGTTCCTAAAAGCCTCACAGAGCATGTGATCTCATCACATTAAGACTGAGACCAATCAGTACAAAATCCCATCTTAGTAGGTCTGTGGAAAATGTTAAATCTTCTGATGTACGGTCAAATGAGGCCAATATCTCAAACTCACCAAACCACTGACTGACACAGGGAGCTCAAATAATTCATGAGACTTCACATCTTCACTGTTTCATCACAGTCCTTCAGCAAAGACTTATCACATATGATCTTTTCCGTAATTTGCTCAATGAATTAATGAACACCAATTAGGAAAGGGGACCTCACAAGGAAGAAGCAATTGTTTGGCACTGTTTCAAACAGGAGGAATCAAGCAGGTAATGAGATGGTGCTTAATGAAAATATCTGTGTAGTCTAAAAATCCCAGTATTTCACAGAGAAGCAACTTACATGGGCCATGCTTTTAGAAATCTAAGAACCGATCAGTCTTCCTGGGGGGTTCCTCTACCAGAGAAGTTCAAACTCTAGAAAATTCAGAGCTGAGAGAAGAAAAGGCGGCTTTAGTGTTCCCAGTAACTTCAGCCAATAAACCTTCTTGTCCCCGCATTTTGGCTTCCAAATGATGTTACAACAACCCTCACATGAAATTTTGGAGAACAGAGGGATTCTGGATAAATCCAAACCCCAGTGAACCAAGATGCACACACCCGAATGCAGAACAACAGCGCTTCTTCACGGAAGCCAGAATTAGACACGTCAGCAGGTTTTCTGGACAGGCCTTCATTTTGGAGAGGCTGATCTAGATCAAATGTTGGCCTGCACAGTTCTGCTTTGAACAGATCCTCCTCCCTACATCCCTACATTCTCTTTTGGGCTGGAATTTTTTTTTTTATTGTAGTTGACATATAATATTATTTTCAGTTTCAGGTACACAACACAGTGACTTGACATTTATACACATTATGAAATTATCACCCCAATAAATCTATCACCTGCCACCATACAAAGTTATTATTATTGACTACATTCTCTATTCTACATATCTCTGTGACTTACTTATTTTACTGGAGGTTTGTATCTTTTAATCCTTGTCACTTATTTCACCCATCTCCCTCCCTCCTCCCCTCTGGCAACCAGCCATTTGTTCTCTGTATTTTTGAGTCTGTTTCTGTTTTGTTTTGTTTGCTCGATTGTTTTGTTTTTTATATTCAACATATATAAGTGAAAGCAAATGGTACTTGTCTTTCTCTGACTTATTTTACTTAGCATAATACCCTCTAGGTCTCTCCATGTTGTCACGGATGGCAAAATTTTATTCTTTTTTATGGATGAGTAATATTCCATTGTATGTGTACATGTACTACATCTTCTTTATCCATTCATCTACTGATGGATGCTTCCATATCTTAGCTATTGTAAATAATGCTGCAATGAACATAGGGGTGCTGATATCTTTTTGATTTCATGTTTTTGTTTTCTTTGGGTAAATACCCAAAGTGGAATTGCTGGGTTTTGTAGGGTAGTTCTATTTTTACCTTTTTGAGGACCCTCCATACCATTTTCCACAGTGGCTGCACCAGTTTGCATTCCCACCAACAGTGCACGAGGGTTCCCTTTTCCCCACATCCTCATCAACACTTGTTATTTCTTCTCTTTTTTATAATAGCCATTCTAACAGTGTGAGGTGGTGCCTCATTGTGGTTTTGATTTACATTTCCCTGATGATGAGTGATATTGAGCATCTTTTTATGTGTCTGTCGGCTATCTGTATGTCTTCTTTGGAAAAGTGTTTATTCAGGGCTTCTGCCTATTTTAAAATCATTCCTACATTCTAAATGAAAAAGAAGCCTTACCACCCAAACCAGAACTTCTTTTGTGGCCTCAGGATAACGTCAAGACATGGGAGAGAGAAAACAGAGAAGACACTGATCAGGCATTTACTAACATCTTAGTAGCTCGGTTTTCTCATCATTAAAATGGGGATAAGAATATCAACTACTACATATGGTTATCTTGAAGAATAAGTAAGAAAATCCATTTAAAACACTTACTAGAAAATTGGCTTAACATGAGTTAGCTATTATTGTTATTGAAGAACATGACATGCCCCTCATTTCATTTTTATAAAGGACATAATTTGTTTCCATTTTTTACTTCTCTCTGGCATGTTTTCTTATAATTTTAATGAAAACACTTAGAGCCTGACCTTAAGAATGCAACTTTTCTTTTAAAAAATAGCAGGAAAGATTTCTCTGATGTTTAAATTTCCTCTTTCTCTATAGAAATTACAGAGAGGCACCATTCTTTTATAAGATGCAAAACTGAAATAACTAACAAAGGTTGAATCCTGTTCTTCCTGTGCAACGTGGAGACTGGTGTACATATTCATAACTGCTATCATCTTACTTTTTTCTTATATAAATTTGTCACTGGAAGAGTAATTTGTACAACAGATCCTCGGAAATCCTTTCACCTGCATGTATAATTTTTATATGACATTGCTATAATCCCAAAATGTGTAAATACCAATAAGGTTTTTCAAATAAGAGGATCACTGGTGCTTCCCTCTTCTTCCTGCAGCACGCAAAGAACATTGAGTCCTATAGTTTCCCTGTTTTAGTCTAAGAGTTGAAGAGTCTTTGCTACTTTGCATAATCAATTAGGGTGATTCTATTCTGCAGATACAATAAAACCCTACATATCTGCTAACAAAAAACCGGGGAGGGGGAAGAATGCACACCAAAATATTAATATTATGTCTGTGTTTACGACACATGCATTGGTTTCCTCTACTCTCACACTCACAGTGCTTCTGACACCAACTATGTATTTTTTTTGAACACATCAACAATTCTCTGACACCAGCTGGATGCCCTACAATTCAATTCAGCTCTGAGCTCTGACACTATCTACCTGGAGTTAGCATCAAATCCCACAAGTTAAGGGCTCAGTCCAAGACTGCCCCCACTTCAGAAACCAATCACAAGTCCCAGGTTGTCACCCGTAATTCTGACTAACTGGCTATAAATTGGGGTTCCCACACCCCCCTCCTCAGGTTCAAAATTTTGCTAGAACTGCTCAGAGAACTCAGGGAAAACACTAAGTTTATTGGTTTATTATACATTAAGGGATATGATAAAGTATACAGATGAATAGCTAGATGAAGAGATACATAAGGTGAGGCCTGGAAGGTTCCAAGTGTAGGAGCTTCTGTCTCTGAGGACATGGGGTGTACCATGCTCCCAGCACATGGATGTGCTAACCAACCCAGAAGTTCTCCACATCCTGTACTTTAGGGATTTTTACAGAGGTTTCATCATATAGGCATGATCGATTATTAACTCATTTTCCAGTCCCTTCCCCCTATCCCTGCCCTGAGAATGGGAGCTAGAGCTGAAGGTTCAAGTTTTTTTCTTAAAAAAAATTTTTTTTACTTATTTATTTGACAGAGACAGAGAGCAGGAAAGCACAAGCAGTGGGAGCAGCAGACTGAGAGGGAGAAGCACGCTTCCTGCGGAGCTGGGATCCTCATGCAGGGCTGGATCCCAGGACGCTGGGCTCATGAACTGAGCCGAAGGCAGTCGCTTAACCAACTGAGCCACCCAGGAGCCCCTGAGGGTTTGAGCTTCTAAACATGGCTTGGTCTTTCTAGTGACCAGGCCCCATTCAAGAACCCAAGAGTCACTTCTTTAGAACAAAAGATACTCCTATTACCCAGGAAATTCTAAGAGATTTAGGAGCTCTGTGTCAGACACTCCTACTACTCAGGAAATCACAAGGATTTTAGGAGCTCTGTGTCAGGAACCCTGGTCAAAGACCAAATATTAGCAGGCACCAGGGGTAGAAACCAATATAAATACATTTTTTATTATTTCACAGTCTAATAGGTAGAATTATGGGGAACTTTTTTTTTTAAATGTTAACTTTTTTCATAAATTCTTTGGATTACTGATTTTTTTGGGGGGGAGGACAAGTCTGCACTAATTCTACCTTCAGAATTTAATATGAAGACTTTTACAATAATTTTACAGTTATAATTAAACAGTTATTCACAGTGGATACATTCTAGACTTTAATAAAACCAAGATCAAATAGGATCATCAGGGAAAAGCAGTACTTGGACATCTTTTAGTTGTATCTCATCAACATAATTATATTTATTCTTCTCTGAAAAACGTAATTCAGGTTAAGTGGCCACTGCAGACGGAATGAGAGTATGAACGCAAAGTAGAGAGAACAGTCTTGGGTACAAAAGGAATGATCCATAAGTGTGGCCAAATCCCTCTTCTCCACTATTTAAAATATATACCGTCCTTGAAATGTATCTCACAAAACCATATGATAGTAAATGAGATTCATATATAATTTAAGATTTCTTTGAATACTACTGTCCATAACTGTGCACGTAGTTTAAAACTCTTCACATTTTTCTTCTTGTGACTGATCCTTTATAAACATATTTTTGTTAGTTGCATAATATTCCATCACATAAATATGGACTGAGGTACTTAACTATTTACACAATATTGAACTCTAATTTTGTACAAGATCATTCCCAGCTATTAAAATCTTTGCTTGCCCACCAACGGTTTTAAATATTTTTATTGCATATACCACCTTTGTTAATTGAATAAATCACTATGTTTCTCTCCAGAAAAATACACATATATAAACTACAACTCTGTATGCAATTATAAGTGGTTTGTGGTCACCTGGAAGCCCTAGTCAGTCTTCAGTTTAAGAATTTGTTTAAAGGGCTCTTGGGTGGCTCAGTCGGTTGGGCGTCTGCCTTCAGCTCGGGTCATGATCCCTGGGCCCTGGGAGTGAGCCCTACGTAGGGCTTCCTGCTCAGCGGGAAGTGCTCTCCCACTCCCCCTGCTTGTGTTCCCTCTCTCGCTGTGTCTCTCTCAGTCAAATAAATAAATAAAATCTTAAAAAAAAAATTTGTTTTAAAAAAAAGAATTTGTTTAAAAAAATTTGTTTTTAACAAGTTAAGCTTATTCTATTGCTGCTGAATTCTGAAAGGAATGACCCAGAATCACCAATGATGAAGAGTTAATACTTCCTGAGTGTTATGTTCCAGACATTGTTTTAAGGAACTTTATACGTATTAATACATCTTATCCTTATTATAGCCCTATGAAGCAGGAACTATTGTTATACCCATTTTAAAGATTTAGAAAACAGAGTGTGCAGAGTGTGTAGATGGTAAATATCTAGTAGTGGCAAAGCCAAGATTCAAAGCCAGATATTTCAGACTCAGAACTCATACTCTTCAACAGCATACCACACTGCCTCTCACTGTCCAATGACGTGTAAACAAATTCTGGCTGTCAAATCAAGGCCTAACAAATAAAACAAAATTTAAAAAGTAAAATTAGGGGCCCCTGGGTGGTTCAGTCAGTTAAGTGTCTGCCTCTGCCCGGTCATGATCCCAGGGTCCTGAGACCAAGCCCTGCATCAGGCTTGAGTCTGCTTCTCCCTCTCCCTCTGTGTGCGTGCTCGCTCTCTCTCTCTCTCAAATAAATAAATACTTTTTAAAAAATTAAAATTAAAAAAATAAAACAAATGACTAAGGACACAGACCTACCAATACACTCAAACCTACAATCACATTCCCACTTCTAAAAGCTTCTCATGGAAGACGACTGCTGCATGCTACTGAAATTATTAAACCAATGCCTACCTTGCTGAACTTGACAATGAAGCCTTGGGAGAAGGTGAGTTGTCTAGTGTAGTGGTATCTAGGATGCCAACCAAATACTAATACTCATCTTTTTACTCTATCGAAGTCTAAAATAAAGCCCTGAAAGCAAACTTCAGGAATTGTATTCCTACAACCTACTATCACGATGCTTAGAAAAGGGATCACAGAATAAGATTTAAATGATTTGTAATCACTAGTGAGAAACAACAACTAAAATGCTAATGAGAATATTGGGTAAAAGGGGAGGGTAAGGGGGACACAGGGAGGGGGAATCCATCTCTAAGGACCCCATCATTCACTGGAAAGAAGACACAGAGTAGGTCACAATTACGTAGAGTACTTCGGGCAAAGGAAAACAAATGTGCTCTTAAAACAAGTTAGTGAACAAAAAGGGGGTAATTTCCCATCCAGTCTTCTCGGGAGCTTTCCTTGGAGAAACTGAAGGCTCTAAAACTCCCGTCTCCAGATCAGTTCCCCGCCTTCCCGCTGGGAAGCTTTCATTCAAAGGCTCCATGACCGACCTCCGTCCGGGGACCGTCCGTCTAGGGCAGACCACTTGGCTGTGAGGGGAAAGGGGCAGGAGGCGGCAGGAACCTAGGACACGGCTCACGGTGGCACCGCTGCCGCCCAGCCTCCGCGGGCGCACAGCCCACGCCCGAACCACACAATCACCGTCCGGCACCCCGCTACTCCCGCACACACACGAGCTGGGGACGCGGGCAGCGCCGGCCAGCCCCCTCCCCGCACGCCCTGCACTCAGTGTGTTCCTTCACAGAATTCCACGCAGCCCTCTGGGCGGGTCGGAGTCTGCAGTGCCGTCCCCTTGAGGCTGGGTGTCGACTGTTTCCTCACAGACTTCCAAGCCCGCAGCCACGCCAACAATCACCAAACCGTGGGAGGGAAAGGCAAAGGGCCAGGTGGCCCCGGTGGTCTTTGGGAAATGTAGTCCCAGGCTGCTTCGGCCTGATCGCAGTAGCCTGTGGGAAATGTAGTCTCGGGCGGTAAAACCCGTAGCAAGTGTGCGGCCCACCGCCCATAAAGACCGCCCACCCCGCGCCCGGGAGACTTCTGGGAGTTCCCGTTGGTGTTGGGCTTACGCAGGCGCAGGCTCTCGCCGAGCTGACAGGCCAACCCATCTCCGCCAACTTTAGGGCTGGGCGAGTTTAATGGGCTGGTCGTCGGGGCGCAAGGGAGGCGAGTAAGTACCGGACCCGCCCAGGGAAAGCAGAGTTGAGGATTCAGGAGTTCACGATTGCCCGACGCT